TATGCATGAGCGTGTGTGTCGGAACGCTTCAGTCGCACGCGCGTCAGTGCTTCGGTCGGTTTGTGTGTTTACTTTCGCGCCAAAATGTCTATCGATACACGCCGCAGTAATAGAGAGAAATTAGAAAAGTTTATTATACAGTTAATATATTTATACAGGAAGTTACCATGTCTATGGCAAATAAAATGTCAAAATAACAACAATAGCCAAAACGTCATCATTTGTGGGTGCCGGTGGCATATTTCACAAAATACTTATTGCACAACACGACTTCTTAGGTTCGTTACAGGCGCAGAACTGAGACTGCACAGGCATACCTGAATCGTGTGTGGTCACTATGGACGTTAGGTATACTTGCACAAGCCTTCAGTTCCGGTATACCGTTCAGGTATACCGCTACGTATGTGGCCGTCATAAGGACCGGGCCGACCGAACAACTAAAACGGACCAGTGCGCTGGCCCTAAAATAACAGTTTAGTTAGCCAACGCGAATCGGTCGACAGTGGTGCGCGCGCATGACAGATTTGCCTGTCATAAATATGTCTAGTCTAGTAGTGGTAAAAGAATGCAAAAATTACGATACAAAGATTTAAAAGAAACATGGAATATCGTATCATCGGTAATGTCAAATCATTAATTTTGTTACAATTAAATTATAATATAAACGCGTTTTTAAAGTTTTATTTTACAGTTAGTTTAGTTACGTTACCAAGATTATGCCAGGGTTGGATTCAGACCCTCAAAATATTGTACATGGAAAATAAAATTTTACTATTCAAAAAAATTATATCACGTTTGACGTTTCTTTTTTCCAATGTGCCGGGATTTTGGCGTTACGCGTCTAGTTTATCTATACGTTTCGTATTTTGACGCTTTTATTTTTATTTCTGATTAATTTTTGTCTAAGAACTTAGTGTAAGTTAAATTTTGAATATTGGTACCTAACATATTTTAAATTCAATAAGGGTAAAACGAAAAGAGTACAAAAGAAGTCATATCTGCTTAATTGAATCTGAAAATCTGATTCATAAAATATTTTGAAATTCTGTTTTCAAACCGATTGCTTCTGGAGCATAGAGTTTTGATTATAAATGCATCGATCGGGCATCGATTGACCAGAAGGGGAGCTCATTCTAATTTTATTTTAAAAAAACGCGTTACTCATGAACAATACAGAAATTCTCGATATCGTATGGTTAATATTGAAATGTAAAAGGACCCAATAAAAATACAAGTCGAGCTTTAGGTAAAATTACAGTATTTTCGCTTGGATACTATATACTACTAACTATGAAATAATGGTACAACTAGGATTATTATACTACGAAATGCGACCCTGGTTATGTCGTGTTTTAATAAGACGTCTGCATTATGACAGATACGCTTCTTTTTCTTGTATGAAAAAGTTATTAGTAAAATATTTAGATGGGTCTATCTTTCCTTTTAAAATGATTGTCTTCAAATGGTCGATCGCAATAGAGCAATCGATCATGAGAGCTGTTGGAGTTAAAGTTAGACGTAATCTAGATTTTCTAAACATTACAAAATTGTTGAAAAGTAGCGTCGTAAAATAATCGACAAACTTGTGTAGCTGCGTGGGTCCCGACTCCCGACGGAAAGAAGCTGAAACAGGAATGATGCTTCTGGTATCCTTCTCATAGCAACTCAATAATAATAAAAAAGAATATACAGTTTTTAGCTGGCCTGTTCAACGTAGCAATTATGGGAAATAATAAATATATCTATATGAGGCAATCTTCGGAATCATTGCCTCATATAGATCTTTGATGATCACACATCCACTTAATAATAGGCTCGACCGGAGATGGACCACGCTCTAAAATAGCATAATGCTAATATGATTCGAAGAGTTCTTGACGAGAATAAAAGATGGTTCTTACTGGTAGCAAGGCGTTGTATCTTAGTCTCAGGGGTGACAACACATTTTGATTCTTAATTGAGGACATATGAGTATGAGTCACAGCATTTATTTACCATTAAGGTGAACTATGTGCTTTTTTTTCAATCTTATTTTGTAAAAAAAATATACCATTTACGGGTGCAGTCTCCAAATGCATACTACATCAGAATATTGAAAGACTCTGTAACGAATCAGAATTTATATGATTCGTTCAGATCAGACTTTAGGACGAGTCATCCCGTCTTCGAAACCACTTTCAGAATGCCGTGTTACAAAAAATAGTGTCCCGTTCTGAATAACAGAGCAACATTAAGCTGCTTTTTTAAGCTGGTATTCCATGCGAGCGTGATTATTCCTCGATCAAGCCGACCCATTCGCGCTATATATACAATATAGCTGCAGCGTAGCTCTACAATGCATCAGACGTATTACATATTATTGATTCTTAACCAAGAATAGCCACACTATCCACTTACCAGGTGGATTATGTGCTCTTTCGTTACCATTATGCTATTGTCAGCATTGAAGATCAAACAAGATCAGCACTGCCGTATGATAAGTACAAAAAAAAACAACAGAGAGAAGCGAAGGTAGCACAGTCTTATTTCCATCGTTAATTTCCAGATAAACAAATGTGTGAGTGTGGGAAGTGAAGTCAAGGATCTAAACACAAATTGTTTATTGGAAGTGTTAAAAAAATACAGGAACGAATTGTTTGCAGATAAATTAGAAATCTCTTCCGTTAGTGTTGACGACGTGGAAACTTTTCTCAAAACTAAAAATCCATTATTAAAGTTAAGGTTAGAATTTCTCTTTTTATTAGCCCCTAAAATTTTACATGTCAATTTCTCTCAGGGTTGACTGGTAGAGAATGCCATAAGGAATTAAGTCCGCCCATTGTAACCCTTAGATTAAGGTGCATAAAGATTAAATAAATAAATAAATAAAAGCCTAATGCTGGAGATGAGTCTTTATTTTTACTACGATAAGGGCGAAAATCGAGCACACAGTCCACCTGATGGTAAATGGATATTGAGGCCCTCGACTGTCTCGTTGATCTAGTGGTTGTAGTAGTGCGAATGCTGATCATGAGCTCCTGGGTTCGAATCCCGGTAATTCACCCGGCGGTATCTTACCCCCCGTGCCTCAGGAAGAACGTAAAGCCGTTGGTCCTGCGCCTGATCTTCTCTCCGGTCGTGTCGGTTTACCGTCCGATCGGACTATGAAAGTGAGTGAATAGAGAGAGCACCTGTGCTTACGCATACATTTAGGCACTATAAGCATGTCCTGCGCCAATTTCTAGTATCCGTTGAGGTTGGCCGCCGTGACCGAAATTCGGTCTGGAGGACATTAATATTATTATAACTGTAGCCCATAAACATTTACATCTACCCTCAATTAAGAATCAAAATACAGATGTGTTGTCAACCCTGAGGTCTAAAATGTAATGCTCTTTACACTCACCATACGAAACACAGCAGCGTTAAGCTGTTATTTTACGCTGGTATTCTGTGAGAGCGTGGTCCTTCCCCGGTCGAGCCGACCCATTCGTGCTACAACTGTAATATAGCTACACCATGGCTCTGCCTTGTATATAATATGTTGTAGGAATGATTTGCATTATTCGGCAAGGGACGGAAACGCGATTGTAGATCCAGACACCTTTGACTCTTGTACTCAGCACTATTTATTTTTTTAATAACTTAAATGTAACACCTTAAAGTAAAGAGTATATAGGGCGGACTTAATGCCATATGGCATTCTATGCCAGTCAACCCTGCCAAAGACAATTGTTGACAGGTCTGATACGTAATACATAAATAAATTGTGCATATATAAATATATATACACGTGGTAGAGCCATACTGCAGTTATAGTACTATAGTTGTAGCACGAATGGGTCGGCTCGAACGGGGTAGGACCACGCTCTCACAGAATACCAGCGTAAAATAGTAATGCTGCTGTGTTTCGTAAGGTGAGTGTAGAAAACCGGAGACCCTTTTACTGGAAATGGGGCATTCCATCTTAGTCCTCACGGGGGACAACGCATCTGCGTTTTGATTTGTAATCGAGGAGATACATGTAGATAGATGTCTATGGGCCACAGCAACCACTTACCATCAGGTAGACTGTGTGCTCGTTTGCCACCCTATCCTATAAAAAAATATCAAAATCTTTCGAACCGTTTTCGAGTTAATGCGAGATATGGAAAGATACTGATTTTTATATAAAAAATCATTTTTGGACGGATTTGCCATGTGAATGATTTGATGTAAATTATATTTATTATTTTCAAATCGAAATGTTTTCTTATTCTTTTTTAAATACCACTTACTACACATCTCCTTTGAAAATATGTATTTAGACATAGATATAGACATAGGTTTTATTATCATCAATACACTCACAAAATATACAATTAGAAGTAAATAAGAACATAAAAACACACAAGGTACAAGATGGTAAACATAATTAAAAATAAGTCTCGGCAAGAGTGAGTGATGTGATGCCAAAAATGATTCCGTCTCAGCATATGCTAACATACGTACTGCAGCAGCGCTGATTTTCAGCGGAGCCCTGATTATTTCAGTTACCATCATCCTATTTGGGCCTATTTTTAGTCGTTATAGCTTCAAACTGCAAACTCACTTCATCGTCAGCATCAACATTAAAGCTCTTGACAAGTCCACTACTGAACATAGGCCTCCCCCAGGGAATGCTAAAGAACACGTTCCTGAGCCACGTGTACATCGAACTCTTACATCTCTCATCATACCAAATCGTCACTCCATCTAGAGGGGGTACTCAATAAACTTCGCTTACCGGTATCACCTGATGGTAAATGGTACCGGATAGTAAATGGTCCTACGCCTGAGCTCTCTCCGGTTGCGTCGGATTACGTCCCATCCTACTAGGAGAGTGAGGGAATAGAGAGTGCAGCTGTGATAGCGCATACACTCGTACACTGTAATACTGTCCTGCGCAGAGGGCTACTTCCCATTACGGCTGGCCACCGTGACCGAAATTCGGACGTTAGTTATAATGCTTATATTAAAATTACAGAAATTTAACAGAAGTAATGGATCAAACCAAGAAGTTGTATATCGCGATCACGGTCCTTTTGTATCATTTCTGCGTCAACATCAAATCGGGATGCGCAGCCGCGGACATTTGCAAGAAACTACAAAACATAGAAATGGCAATGATAGTAAAGCTGTGTGAGAAACTGAAATCTACGGAATTGACGATTGCGAATGTCGAATCCGCGATAAAAGGTCATAATATTTTTTATTAGTATAGATATTACGACCTCGGAAAATTTCTATTCTTTTACATAGTAATATTAACAGTGTAACAACTGATAGCGGGACATCGCCTTTAAAGTCACGCGTAATGCCATTTCCGCCTAGACGTACGATATTGCCGCAGGGCTGTCACATTTAATTTTATATTTTTACAGAGAGTTCTAAATCTGTCTGTATGTATGTAGGATATCATGAATATAAATAATACAAATATTTAGTAGTCGTTTTATTATAAACAAAATATTAAAAAGGAAATAAACCAGTACAACTAATATAAAGCAACACAAATTATATAGGATTATTATTGTCATTTGACAATAATAATTCGATATAATGGCAGACTCGGAAAAGGACGTCCTAGGCGAAAATGTATTCACCAAATTAGCGATTTATTGAAAACGGGCCATATTAGGAGTACTCTTAAGCGACGAGCATGTATGCTTAGGTATATGGATGTGGAAGAGGCGAGAGAGGTGTGTCAGGATCGTGCCAAATGGAAGTCTGTAGTCTCTGCCTACCCCTCTGGGTGACAGGCGTGAGTTTATGTTATGTCATATGTTATTGTCATTTGCTCGCTGTTTTTTTCGGTGATTTATTCGCTTTCATATATGCTTTAAAATACAAACTGCAAATATCTGTGTTGTTCAGACTAACAGACTCCATCAAATCGGGTCTTCCGCTTTCTTCAATCCCAAGCATGCATCTGAAATATATTAACATATTTTTAATATACAGTAGCTACATATTTTGTTATCATGTATTGCAGAGATATTATTATGCTATCATATATTGCTACTAACTACTTAGTAATCAACACCCCCAAAAAAGATCGTACCGTCTTGGATATAGAAATAAATATCTTTTTCGTAATTAACATCCTCAAAATCGATACTCATATAGATTTTACTTAAAAATAATTACATATATTATAGATAGATATTTTAGATCTAAAAAAGGATGTCATATCCGTAATAATTAATTATTAAATTCCTAAAAAATCAAAAACGATACCATAGTTAAAAAGTCACATTCTCCATATTGGATTTTGAAATAAATGATACATTCATAATCAGTATCACAGTTTAAAGTGAGTCTAATGGTGACCACACACGGTCATTCAAACTGATAAGTTCAAACTAAAACTGTTGATAGTATTTAAAATATCGGATTTTCGATATATCCATAAATAAACTTATATGTAAAACTCCGATAGTAATAAATTTATAATTATCGATATATCCAAAACCACTATTCAAAAAAATATCAACAGTTTTAGTTTGAACTGATCAGTTGGAATGATCAGTTGAACTGACCGTGTGTGGGGTCCATAACATTTGAAAAACGAATGTACTTGTGCAGTGCAACGGAGGGGGCCTTGTGTATCTCCCAAGGTGAATTACGGCCAGAGATAAGTTACTAAGTAAAGTTAAATCCAAATGACGGCCGTGCTTATTTTCGCCTCGTATTCTTGATCGCCATATTTCTAAACTTATTCTGTTCTCATTATCAAAATTGTGAAACTTCCTAAATCCCCTTTCTTGGATATGTCTTTTCAAGAGTGCGCCGTCGAGCATGTATTTCTTGAAGCTATTTTTTATTTTCTTCTTTTAAAAAACGTTACCCCACACTAGGATTTTCTCCTATGTCGTGGAGGCCGTTTTCAAACATAATTTGCACAAGGACAAACATCCAGACCCGAAACATATATTTGTAGGCCATACAAATACTTGTTCCGTGCGGGATTCGAACCCGCGGCCTCCAGTGCAGCTACTCATTGCTAAGCTACTGCGCCACAGAGCCGTCAAATGTTCTTCGGAGCTATCAATTGTTCTTGTCTCAGAATATAGTAGAATTTGAGTTCTATATTTTAGGACGCATTCTCCACCATCATTTTTTTAGTCCCTGGCTACTTCGTATTCCAAATATCAATACTATTATGACTTTGATGTACGTTGATTATCTCCATTTCTTCTACAGTGATATAATTTAGAAATAAGGGTAAATGTCTTTGAGTAACATAGTTACAATCTTACAACATAGTAATTCATCTCACACAGATGACGTACGTATTCGATAATAAAAAAGTCTTGTTTACATGATCGACCAAGTGTACACCATCGTAAGATGATGCTATAATTAATGATATAATTACAGACGCCTATGAAGCAACGTATGGGCTACTAATAAATCATGAACCTGTTGTAATAGCATATGAAAGAAAACCTGAATCATCAGCCCAAGACATTAAAACAACATCCATTAAAGCAGCACCTGAAGACGATTCAGAAGTAAAAAAACAAACTCTTAGAAGATCATCCACATGTGATTTCAAAAGTTTTAAGTCACCTTGCATTCGTAGAAAATTACCATATTCCAAATCTTCTATTGAGCTTTTCGAGGTATCAGATTACGCTGTTGCATTGGAATATGACCCTTATATTCCACAAAAGGACGTGCAAATTTTTGAAGTAGATAGTCTAGAATCGACTGATAAGGATAAAGAAGTTCGTTCAGATATTGGCTCTTCGGGTGCTTACTCGGGAGAGGACATTCTAGAACTTGACGTACTCGAGGACTCGGGTAAGACGGAACAATTATACCTATACCTGTCTTTTGGAATTTTTTCATACATCTAAAAATAGGATACCCCTACGATAATGATCCTAAAAAAACGACTTATACTTATCCATTGAAGCAGTCTCTACAGGATATAGGAATGTTGCGGTGTTAATGATGATAATGGGCTACAAACGCATATTTATCTAATTCTCATAGTCATTTAGAACTATCAAACACAAAAAATATTCTCGATGTAATATTATTAAAGGCATGTCACATCATTACAGTCCTTTACAAGTCACGGTCCTGAGCCACCTGCATTCATCGACATAGCTTGCCAGGCCACGTCACTCCATCTAGTATGGGGTCACCATATACATCGCCTACCGGTACGAGGCTGCCACTCGAGAACCTTTCTTCCCCTTCGGTTGTCGATTTTTCAAGCTATATGGCCGGCCCATTGCCACATCAGCTTACTAATCCGTTGGGCTATGTTGGTTGCTCCGGTTCTACTGCCGATATCCTCATTTCTAAGTTCATCCCAATCGTAGCTCTCCCCATAACTCGCTGAACAACCTTGAGCTTTCTCATACGACCAGAAGTGAAGGACCACGACCATCACGACCATCTCAGATCCATAAGTTATCACTAGTAACACGCACTGATTGTACAATCTCGCATTCAAGTTTTGAGGTATACCTGACGAGAAGATGTTTAGAAGTCTCCCAAATGCTGCCCAGCTAAATTGAACCCGTTGATTGACTTCTTAGTCGAAGTTGGACTAACCTAGTCGGACTATTTGTCTCAGGTAAACATACTCGTCAACAATTTCGAAATAAGTTCTCCCAACAACTACCGGCATATGAGTGACATGGACGTTATACATGATCTTTGTTTCGTCCATGTTTATTTTAAGGCCTACCTCTTGGGAAGTACTATTGAGTTCATTGAGCATTGTGCTCAGAAAATATCACCGTATTAAAACTGAGCATATAGCTGGTGTAATAAGTGGGATAACTAGGGGTAAGTCTCCTGGTCACATTCAGCATTGAGCACTTGCAGCATGCGGGTGTGCATTTGCCGAGGGTGTTAACTCTGTTATTTAATCTATGTCTAGGACATGCGTAGTTACCCGGGAAGCTTATGAAAATCGTGGTGGTACCAATATTAAATAATAAGACTAGTGAGGCTTGTAAAGGTGTTGGATGGTTTGCTTGACCAGCAACTCGGCCAACACATTCACCTAAATGAGGCTCAGTTTGGTTTCAGGCCGGGGCTTTTAACTGAAACTGCCATACTGCTACTCAAGCAAACTGTCCAGTATTACACTACGAGAAAAACGCCGCTTTACGCGTGTTTTTTGGACTTGTCAAAGACATTTGACCTGGTTTCGTACAAAGTTTTATGGGATAAGGTTAGCCAGGTAACTAGCACACCCAAGGAAGTGATTAACCTTTTTAAATATTGGTATCACAACCAATTCAATTGTGTGAAGTGGGCTAGCTCATATTCGTCGGAGTACAGGTTGGAGTGCGGTGTGAGGCAGCGCGACCTAAGCTTCCCTCCACTCTTCAACCTGTACGTCAACGGTCTGATCATTGAGCTCAGTGATGCCGGAGTCGGTTACTCAACTTACAGTCATTTTGTCAATAATATATGCTGTGCTGACGACATGGTTTTGCTGAGCCCATCGATCAGGGCCCTTGAAACACTAGTGTTTCACAGGTGACCATCTGTGAAAGGTACGCGGCGGCTCATGATCTCAGTTATAATTCTAAAAAGAGCGAACTATTTGGTTTTGAGGTTGGAAATAAGCAACCTAAGTCTGTTCCTCATGTTAAACTTGAAAGAGTTATACTGAGTAGACGCACGTGATAGAACGAGGTCTTTGGACGTCAGATAATCCTATCCGTCTTGTCAGTCCTCAGGCTGCGTGCGTAATATGTTGCCAGGTCGAGTCGTCTTAGGTGGCAACCGTACCTCCGCCAGAGAATCTTAGAACCCCCTCTTTTACATAGGGAAATGAGGCATACCCGCCTCGAAGAGGCAAAAACTGATTATGTCGGACTCGCACCGACTAAATCCCTATGGTGTTCTACCTTTGACGCGTATTATCAGGGTCACAGGAACGCTTTCGCACACATCCGCAGCACCACCAGCGCCGGCCTCGCCATGGCAGCTCCTCTTCGAGAGAGGACTACTCCTCCGGCATCTACTTCTCAGGTAAGGCACACCATAACACTTGACGCGCCTTCCTCCACGGCCTCCATCTTCACCTGCGCAACGGACGCCCCCATGTCTGATGCGCGAAGACCATGGCGTTAGAAAAAACGAGCACTTAGAACTACTAGCCTTCCTAACCCCAGCAGTGGATCTGATCTAAGGCTCCGCCACCCTGCCGCGCTTTTACCACGATCCCCACCGTAGCCAGAAATACCAGGGTCGTTGGGGTCTGGGGGCTGTTTTTTTGTCTCGTTCTGACCCAAACCGACAAACTATTGGGAAAAAATATTATCACGTGGTAGCCGCACCGGTAAGCGAAATCGAGGGCGATCTCACATTAGATGGAGGGACGAACAGGTAAGAAATGTAGGCACTAGATGGATACAGGTAGCTTTGCAATTTTAAGTACTAATTTAACGACATGCTTGGCAGAGAAGAAAACCTTCGTGAGGAAACCAGGATATCTGAGGAAAAATATTTCCAAGTCCATCTGTGGATTTGTGAAGTTTTCCAACACGCAATGAGAGAGCAAAAATCTTTTTAGCTTAATCAGCAATGAGCAAGTAAAAATTAAATATGTAATAAATAATTTACTTTTCTTATTACAGTAACACCGTGCCAACCAAATTGCACTTGCACTCGGTGCTCCAGTATTGGTCCCACTTGCGGTGATCCGGGATATTCCATGGATAAATGTGACACTAAGCAACCTACTCACGGACTCTCAAAGTAATTTACACCACTACGTCTGATTCATACCCATAGAATACTATAATCTACAATACATACATAATGGAACGCGGGAGTGAGCGGAGCCCGTGTAGCCACTAAAATGTCACTAACATGTCAATTCACACGTATAATGGTCAACACGAGATGTGTTTTGACGTAACAATCGTTTCTAAATTTCGCAAATTATTTAGAAAATACTAAATTGCACACTATTTACATATTAATATGTAATAACATTTAAACGAGTTTTTTAATGATGATTTTGAACATTAATCAAAAGTCTAAAATGTGTAAATTTACTCAGTCTCAGTAGCGATAAAACGACGTAATTGCTTGTATGTGTGCTCCCGGCGACTCGGATTCTGTTATAAAATAAGGTTGACAACCATTTTATTGTATATGAAGGTATGAACATAAAATACAAAGTATTCTACGTTTAAATATTTTTGTGAAAGAATCACGCTAAATATATATTACTAGCTGTTCCCCGCGACTTCGTTCGCGTGAAATTTATTACAATTGAATTCCATGGATTTGAATTCTTTTTTCTAAAATAAAAATAAGACTGTGATGTTATTTAAGTTACTTTATTGAACATAGCTGTCTGCCGGTGAAAGTCCTGACAAAATTTTTTCAGCATATTACAAAAAATACACAAAAAAAATGCGTAATATTTTATAACTGTGCCCCGGGCGTATATGAAGTGTCTGCGCCGCGCGACATGACATGACACCTCGCTCATTTAGTTCAACCATTTTAGCTAAAAAATTGGCAAAATTAATGTTGTACAAAAGTACTAAATTAAATTTTTTATTTTTTTTATAAGATAAAAATCTATCGGCATAATATGTACGTTATACAGCAAAGTTAAATTTTATCCACTCTCTCTCCCGAATGAACGCCCCAGAAAGTGCCCCAAAACGCGGTTTTTTCAGTTTTAAAGAGAACTGTACACAGTACATTAAAAGTTTGGAGGTACGAAATGACCCTTGATGAATTTTCTATCAACCTTTTATACATATAAAAGCGATATCATTTATAGTTTTTACGCAATCTGCCACAAAATATGAACATTTCTTATCTTTAATCGATTTTTTTGCTCAAAGTTTAGGTTTATTAAAATTTCCAACTTTACCGCCAAAATATGTATGACTGAATTAAGAATAGAATATTATGCTCTTTAAAAAGAGGTACCTACAAATTATTTCTTAAATCTTTCATTATGATAAAACTATTTATATGAATAAGAATTAATAGTACGATACGACTGTAACGACTTCTGTTTCGACCAGTGATCTAATTAAATTTTAGAACACAAAAGCTACTATTGTGACTTAATTATGATAGTTAGATAAAGTCCTTACACGGACTTTTTTGAAGGTAATAATGAGTACTTTAATCATGTAGCACATAATTTTTATGTATCGTCAAGTTTTTTCAGCGCATGCCAAATAATGAATTTTATTGGCAAAATTTTGCTACTTTGTTACAATTTTCTAAAGATCTCATCTATGGTATCTATGGTAACCGCTGTTAACTATGACATTTGGACGTTGAACATCTCAGTCCCTCCCGTGACCATGAGTGCTGTAAAGCGCTCGAAACGTCGGGTTATAGTTAAATATACGCGACAAATACCGTAACAATTTTTTTGAAAATAAATTATAGCCTATGTAACTTTGTGATAATTTAGCTTTCTATTGGTGAAAAAATTAAAATCGGTCTAGTAGTTCTGGAGATTATTCGGTACAAACAAACAAACAAACAAAAAATCTTTCTTCTTCATAATATTAAGGTTTGTTCTTCTTAATTTTGAATATTTTATTTTTATTAGAAATATTATTACATTATTTGTAAAAAGATATCTACAAAACATACATTTATTGGTTCAGAGCTTCCCTGTAAAATATATTTGATGTTATTTTATTTTATGGGAGCAAAATATCCACGGTACCTATATGAGGTAGTTGACCAGCTGATAGGCCGGTGATGATGGTCGCTACAGTTAAATTTTCCTTTAATTCCTTAATAATTAGCCTCATCCCATTGCACATGCTCGGGGGGCTTTGCATATTAAAAAAAGTTGTTATTTTGACATAACTGTATTAGTTAGATATACGGTATCCCGGACTTTTTTGTAGATATAGATATCTTCTATAAAACTGTGGTACATCACTTTGCTCTATTGTCAATGTTTCCTCAAGTATCAAAAGACTTTCGGCGTTACATTGCATAATTTAACTGAAAAAGTAGATTTTGACAACTGAATAGATATATAGATTTTTGTAGATATTGATATCTTCTATAAAACTGTAGTACATTACTTTGCTCTATTGTCAATAGTTTCCGCAGCGTATGCGATATAAGGATTCTTTTGGTTTTTTTTTCACGCCGTGGGTTACATTAACGAAGTTTTCATACGGATCCCTAACTTTTTGAAAATATACTATAGCCTATGTTCATCAGGGATAATGTGGGATTCCAATAGTGAAAGAATTTTTCAAATCGGTCCAATAGTTTTGGAGCCTATTCAATACAAACAAACAAATTTTCCTCTTTATAATATTAGTGTAGATGACAGCAGCGTGACTGGGCTAGTTCGAACCTTTCCTGTTCTTCTCCGAAAGGTAACTCACTGGTTCTCCTATCATAATGTTGAGGAGAGGATAGCCGTCTGCGAGAGACAAGATTGTAGTGACCGAATGCGCAAGCATAGTTACACTTTCTATTCCCTCACTTTCATAGTCAGATGGGAAGACAATCGCATACGACCGGAGAGGGATCAGGCGCATGACCAACGACCTTTTTGTGATTTTCGAGGCAGATTGCATTGGTGTGACAACGCCAACTTCCAGACTCCGGGATGCTAATAAGAATTTCTAGATAGAAAAACCTAATAACTGATTTTTGCGTCACCCATAATTCCAATCCCGGGGCCACATGCTTACCAATCGCATTTACGGCCACGAGACCAATGAATGAGACAGCCAAATTACACTCATTCCAAATTGATAGATTTTTTCACTCACATCACAATGCAGTTAAAGCGTGATAGCATGACATCACGTCAGTGATGATCATATTTTTCGATTAAGCACCTTCATTTACGTAAGTGATGATGTAGGTATGTGATTTTTTATAGAATAAGGGTGATAAACGAACTCACAGTCCACCTGATGGTAAGTGGATGCTGCAGCCCATAGATATCTACATCTATCCTCAAATCAAAAAGGGTCCCCGTGCTTTACACTCACCATACGAAACACAGCAGCGTTAAGCTGCTATTTTACGCTGGTATTCTGTGAGAGCGTGGTCCTTCCCCGGTCGAGCCGACCCATTCGTGCTACAACTATACTGCTAATATAGCTGCAGCATGGCTCTACCACGTGGTATCAACTTCAAACAACCAACATTACAGTTGCGTTCAAACCTATGAAGACATAACCTTACTATCTGTACCCGTACCCTCCAAACTGTAAAATAAATGTGTATGCTGTGCTGCTTATTGGTAGAAATAGTCACGAGGGTGGTAAATTTCTTTTCTAAGCAGAAAGGAGTTTAACTATCTCTTTGGTGTAATCTTTGAACTTTTCAGGAATAATTTGGACTCGGGGCCGGAACGTCCCAGTAGTAAATTGAAACTATACTGTGCACTTGCTGGCATGATACTATTGGCTGTTTTGATTGTACTGCTTTGCAGTATGCCACTCTGGGATTGGAGCGCACCAACATCAGAGGAAACTTTGAATGACCTTAAAACAACAGATTCATTAAAATTGAAGAGATTGGCCAAACAAAATAGGTGAGAGAATTGAACAGCTTGGGAAGTGGAAAATTTACCCATAGTCTCCACTCTGGGCAGCTAAGTTGGTGAGCTGGCACCCTCAGACTGGTAATGCTACACCCGATTCTTCTTCTTCATTTTTTTGTTTAAATAACGTTACCCCTACACTAGGATTTTCTCCTGTATCGTGGGGGCAGTTTACAAACATAAATTGCACAAGGACAAACATCCAGACCCGGAACAATTATTTGTAGGCCATACAAATACTTGTTTCGTGCGGGATTCGAACCCGCGACCCTCAGCGCAGCCACTCATTGCTAAGCCACTGTGCCACAGAGTCGTCAAACCATCATTAACCTTTATTTATAGAAGAATTAGAAGAAACTACGTTATCAGGGAGGTGGTGTTCCCCATACTGAACATGCTGGCGAGAAGCAACGTGGCTCTGAGGAAGTTGATGAAGTATCTTCACGGGGCAAGACAGACGATGTTTGGCACAGTGCCGAGAGTGTTTGCGGTATCACACGCTGGTAATACCAAAGCAATGTCGCTATTAGAAAGCTTTGTGGGGACGAGCCGTACCAGGTCCAGCTGAAAAGTTTTATAAGACAATACGTCTTTTTCATACGTTATACCAGACGTTTCGCATTTTTGAAGATTCCTGCCGTTTTTTTGATTTTTCATCGTACGTCATTTTTTTATTTTTCGGGCGACTATGGTGATAGTCGCCCCTTAAGTATTATATAAGAATGGGGTAATGAATTCCCTTACGCCTATCGCCCATAAAAAGAGCACTGCTAAATATAGACCTTTCACATATATATTGTCTCATATTTGCCACACATAGGATATTTGCGACCGGTTGGCTATCGCGTTTTACATTAAGCACATTTTCTACTTACTTATTTTTTTTACTAACTTAGCGGTCAGACACCACAGAGTCTGTTTCATCTGATGATGCCTCGTTTTGGACCGCATTTTTTATGATTTTGTGTTGCTATCAGGAAAGGCATCATCCTGATCAGCTGCCCATCACCTGTTTCAGTTTCCATCAGTCGCTTCTTACGACTAACATAAATTGATACGCCGATACTACAAAGCTTCGATTGTGTCATCTTAACTATCCATTATTGTAATTATATAGATATAGATTATTAATATATATATTGCCTTAAAAATGTCTTATGAATAGATGAAAAATATTAAGTCAATTATTGTTAATTCCGTTAAACGATTACAAAGGCTTAATTGCAAGATGGCGGCCTGCAGACAAACCATACTTTTCCTTACAGGAATTCCGTACAATGAAAACAGCTTTATGTGAGACAATTCATTCGTAATTTGTAAATTATAAAATCATTTTGCATTATAACCTCAGTTAACCGCAAAACAACCTTGAATTGACTTCTTGGCCTTGTTCTCTGTGATAGTTTCGTACACCGTCCAACAGTCAAACTGAATGCTTATGCATTTGGAACTTTTAGATTTAGCGATAGTGTTTTGACATTGAACAAGAAAACTTAGATCCGAGCATAGATTAAAAAATTTAATAAATAAAGTAAATAATAAAATTCTCTTCGTTAATCAATACTTCTACCGCAGTTTTGTTTTCGATTTAGTAATACATACCGTACAACGGCTTGTATAGTAACTTTATCTTGCTATTTTTATATTTAAATGGCTTCGTTTGTTTGTTGTACTTGCTCTGTCAACTGTCAAATATTATTGCCAACATTTATTAAAACCTCATGGTTTTCAACCTCTCTCTTGTATTTCCTATAGTCAGCTCTAACAACACCAATAGGACACAATGAGGTGAAGAATTTTTAAATCACACATAAATCATAATTTTTCTTATATGCGTTCATATTTTCTAATAAATTTTCAGATCATCATCCGTCGAGTGGCAATGGCAGTGCAGAAACCAATTCTGTCTCAAAACGCGCGTATATACAAATGTTACCATGCACACTTCCCTTAGTCGTTGTACACTTTTATGCATGGGACCGCAGCTGTGGCCCCATCCAATTGGTTACACCCACTTCAGCAAAACAATCGTAGCTCTGACTATGACAAATTTAGAGTACAAATTCCAATCAGTCCCTTCCGAAGTTGTCCATCACTACCTAGCTGAAGCTTTTAATCTGTTTCTGAAAAGTTTATCCATGTTGGAGAAAATGGATAAGAAATACAGAAATGAAACTGAAGAAACCGATCTACCTATTAAAAGAATTAGCATTCAAATGGAAGTTGAGACCGATCCAGATCCTAGAATAAGATTGAACACTGAAGAAGCATATATGCTCAAATTTGAAACTGTAGGTGGCCGCGTTAACATCAAAGTAACCAGCGCTTCTTTCTGTGGAGTTAGACACGGCCTAGAGACATTAAGCCAGTTGATTCTCCTGGATCAGGCGTCGGGCTATCTGATATCATTGTCAGAAATAACAATAAAAGATGCTCCAAGTTACAGATACAGAGGTTTGATGTTGGACACTGGAAGAAACTATATACCAGTGTCAGACATAATGAGAACTATAGACGCAATGGCATCATGTAAACTGAACACGTTTCATTGGAGAATTTCCAGTGATACTAGTTTTCCATTGCAGCTGGCCAAACTACCATTATTGTTCGAATATGGTGCATATGATAGAACAATGGTTTACACAAAAGATAATGTGCAAGCAGTAGTAAGAAAAGCAGGGCTACGTGGCATTAGAGTTCTTATAGAAGTGACTGCACCAGGACCAGTTGGAAGGCCTTGGTCTTGGCTGCCGGAAGCCACTTGTCCAAAGAAAACTGATAATTATACCTGCGATAATATTCTTTGCATGAGGCTCCTTATGGAGAGTTCAGTTTTTGATAAATTACAAATACTTTATTCGGAAATTCTAGAAATGACTGGAGTTGACGATATTTTCCATCTCAGTGATGGAATGTTCTCAATGACGAATTGTTATCAACTTATAAACGACAGAGATGGGTTTTTGGACAAGGCTTTAGAGCGCCTCAAGATGGCTAATAAAGGATTCTCACCTAAGTTGCCTATTATTTGGTATACGCCCCATTTAATGAAGGATTTTGAGGCAAAAACTTGGGAAAGGCTCGGAGTGCAACTGAACGATTTGGATCCAAATCCTGGTGAACAGTATATGGGCAAATTTAGAGTGATCCATTCAACAAAATGGGATTTGTCTTGTGAGATTAGAAAACAGAGATGTATTAAGTACAGGTACCTCTAATTATAGTTTTATTTAACCATACCTATAATAATAAGGATATCTAAGATAAATGCCAATTAGGATGAAAATTGGATGTATTTTTCCACACACTCAGCAAATTAATAATTACGTCTTCCAAAGTCGCTAAGCTTCTTCAGCAAGGTCCTTAATAATCGCCAATGTCGTAGGCCAAATTCTCGCAATCGCTTTCCTAAGTAGAGTTCATTTTTGCGTTTCCAACAAACTCTCCTAAAAATCGCTAGCACACGCTTTTATAATCGATAAAAGAAATATAGAACTTTCTAGGCCTAGGAGATAACATAAGGATAACAATATCCAAAGAAGAAAAGCCTTTATACGCGGAGACTAATAAGGTTGCTTTTTGCTTGCATTAACAGTCGAAGCATTTTCTATTTTTATGCCCACAGATATAATTACTTATCGTCTGAAACATTCTCGGGCAGTGACGTAATACGCAACTAGCTTTCGTAACGCACTACATTCGTATTCACTACATTTCGCAGGACATGGCAGGAGATGTACGCTTGGAAGTCATGGCGAAACGTCGAAGTTTTTACAATTGAAGGAGGGGAGGCGGTCCTTTGGACAGACTTAGTGAGCTCAGGTAAAACCCAATCTGAAATACATAGAACCCTTTGTTATATTAATTTCATTTAGAATGATAAATCGATCTTATCGATCAGTCTCCATTTGTCAACATTATAAGCGAGTGCTTGGCAATAGCAAATCAACACTTAATATCAGGTGGGATAATAATCCCACCTGATATTAAGTGTTGATGCCGAAGAAGTTAAAGCGCACTGACTTAACTTAATAAAACCCTATTCATTCTTGCCTTGAAGACACCCACATGGAGAGGCAGATGCCGGCAAATTATTCTACTGCTTTGCTGTGCATACATCACGGACGACAAAGAAAATTCCAAGAGCGTGGTATATCTACAACTCACTGTGACTGCCTCGTTTACTGTGTTACGCCTGTTGTAGATTTTTCAGTCAAACATTCACAAGTTTGCGGTGTTTCAACCCCATGACTCGGAAAGCATGTTAAAACCGTTGGTTATGCACCTGATCTTATTCTGGTCTGTCCGATTGCCGTCTCATCAGACTTTGAGAGTGAGAGAAGAGAGTGCACCGTAACACAGGAAATGGAACTTTTTATTTCATCATCTGTGGTACGTATCGCAGGCAGAATCCGGCCATGGTTTGGTCGCTCCTGCAAATTGCATCATGCCAAAATTAGGATTGCCATCAGGGCTCATACATGGACATCTCGGAATGCAAATACCAGCGCTCTTTAAAAGAAGTATAATTCTTCCAGGTCCTTCAAAAGTGTCATTGCCAAGGCAAAGTTGGAGCACATTGACAGAATTGGCAAGAAAATAGTTCGACTTCCTTCAGGAACACGTGTATTCTCGTCTCTCGCCAAGGCTGTCCAAGGAAACTTCTGTCAGCTATATCTCCTATCTCTGCACAGGGAGGACGACTCACTGGCCCATACCGCAATGGACAAAACCGATGTGCTGGGCACTCTCTTTGCGTCCAACTCCACATTTGATGATGGGGGGAACGCACCGCCGACCATCCTGATGTGAGTGCTTCATGCAATGGATGTGCCGTTTACCCCGCGCTCGGTGCGCAGAGTGGGCCTGATTGCGTCCCTCCTATTGTTCTGAAGACGTGTGCTCCGGAGTTGGCACCGGTTTTAACGCCCTTTTCCGGTACTCCTAGTCCCTAGGCGTGGTCCCAAAATCATGAAAGACTGTTTTAGTGCACCCGAGGCCTAAAACAAGCGACCGCTCAGATTCGTCTAATTGTCTAAAGGCCCATTGCTATCACCTTCTTGTTCTCCAAAATAATGGAGTCCATTATAAACTACCAGCTCATGAAGTACCCTAAGGGTCATTAGCTCATTAGTGACCGCCAGTACGGTTTCCATCGGGGTCGCTCATCTGGTGATCTTTTGGGTTACCTAACTCATAAATGGACGGAGGCAGTAGATTCCAAGAGGTAGGCGATGGCTGTTAGTTTGGGTATAGCGAAGGACTTCGATTGGGTTTGGCACAAAGCGCTTCTTACGAAGCTTCCTTCCTATGGACTTCCCGAGAATTTGTGCAGTTGGATCACCAGTTTTCTTGCAGATCGGAGCATCAAGGTCATAGTAGACGGTTCATGCCCATTAACGCTGATGTTCCACAAGGCTGCGTACTATCACCAACGCTGTTTCTTCCGCATATCAATGACATATTGACAACTGGTAACATTCATAGCTATGCAGACGACAGCACTGGTGATGCTTTATACTCCGACCGTGCCAATATTTCCCGAGAAAAAGTCGCCGAGTACCGTGACAAACTTGTGTCTGAAGTCGAAACTTTGTTGAACAAAGTTTCGGACTGGGGGCGACTAAATCTAATCCAGTTCAATCCCCAAAAGACACAAGTTTGTTTTACCGCTAAAAAGAATCCCTTCGTCGTATCTCCTCAGTTTCAAGTCACTCCCCTTGTTGCCTTAGCCAGTATTGGAATCCTCGGCATTGACATACCGAGTGACGTGCAGTTTCGTGGTCACTTGCAAGAGAAGGCCAAATTAGCCTCAAAAAGCTTGGCGTGTTCAGCAGAGTGGGACAGTATTTCAAGCCGGCATACCGCTTGCAACTTTACATGGCGCAGGTTCGGCCGCACATGGAATACTGCTCCCATCTCTGGGCTGGGTCTCCCCAGTGCCAGCTCCTTCCATTTGATAGCATCCAGCGCAGAGCCGTTCGAATCGTCGGCAACCGAGCACTTTCCGATCGGCTTATGCTCGTTTGCCCCCTCTCCTATAAAAAAATAATTGCAAACGAGCAGACGTCTACTTTATAATAAGTGGGTGGACGCTTAGGCACGCAAATATTTATAGTAAATGAACTAGCTTATAAAACACGTTGACGTCTGAAAAACAAAATTTTAAATTGTTACATCGAAAAATAGTTTTTATTTCTTTTCAAAACATCGAAATCTCTCCTCCAAATCCTCAAAATGCAGATGCGTTATCACTTTTGAGCGCTGAGACATATAAAAACTGCTAGGGCAAAAATTTATTGATTAATAGTTTTTTTTTAATAATATTGGAGAGTCAAATGACCCGACAGCTTATCAAGCGTTTACTATCATGTCCATGGACATGGACATGGACGTCTTCTAAGAACTTAAATTATGTATTATCATGATCGGTAATTACTTTGACTCCCTTACCCTGAAAGCTGCCATACAGCATTGGATGCAATGCTGTTCAGCGATAGAAATACATAAGAGTATAATATTAAAGTTAAAGTTACAGCTTGTATACGTCCCACTGCTGGGCACAGGCCTCCTCTCATTTCTTAGAGGGTTTTAGGGCAAGCAAGTTTCCGACGCTGCTCCAATGCGTGTTGGCGAGCTTTACGTCTTCGAAATATTTTTTCTTATTTCTCAGATATTCAGGATTCCTTACGATGTTTTCCTTCACCGCCGAGCACGTGGTAAATCAGGACTTCAAATTGCAATTAATAATTACATTGGTGGCGGCGGGGATTGATTACGGGGTGCTCGCGTACTATGAAATTTACTGGCAAACGCTAACCATCTGAGCTACCACAAGTATATATCTCAGACATGCAGGTTTTAGCCGTTCGAATCGTCGGCAACCGAGCACTTTCCGATCGGCTTATGCTCGTTTGCCCCCTCTCCTATAAAAAAATAATAAACCAAACTCCTAGGTAAAAGGAATCCTATCGCCTAGTCATGAGGTCCATATTTTAACATTAAAGACAGCAATAACGTGTTAAAGGCGTAGGACAATCCATTACCCTAGAAAAGGCTATTAAAAACTTATGTCTTCCAATAGATAACCATTTAACCATCATCAATTAGTCTTAAAATACCGAGACCAGCAAGGGGCAACTGCGTCGATGGTGCTAGACGTCTGGTAGTACTACAACTAATCCACTAGCTAAGAGTGGCAATTAAAGACAAACCACAACGATATGGCAGATCCATAAGAGTATAATATATAATAGTAAAGTTAAAGTTACAGCCTATATTGGTCCGATTGCTGAGCACAGGCCTTCTCACATTACTTAGAGGGATATAGGACAAGGAAGTGTCCGTTGCGCTGTACTAATGCGTCTTGGCGTAGTTCACATATTGAAATATTTTTTTATTTCTCAGACATGCAGATTTTCTCATGTTGATGTTTTCCTTCACCGACGAGCACGTGGTAAATAGCTGTAATAGCCAGCCGGATTTCACACGACCAAAAATAGACCCATGATCATGAGAAGACTTTTACAGGTTGATGAATATGTGGAGTAACTCACTTATTTTAAAGAAATACTATTACAGGAAACCTGGATTATCTCCTGTGGCCACGTGCAGCCGCCGTGGCTGAACGACTGTGGTCTGACGTGGTCGCCAATTCAAGCGCCAATCGATTCGTATACATGCGCTTGGATACCCATAGGTTAGACCAGTATTACATTTTAACATAATATTAATAAGGCCTCATTGGTCTAGTGGTCCTAAACGCGATTGGCGATCATGAAGTCCCGGGTTCGAATCCCGGGTCGGGCCAAAATCATGAAATGCTTAGGTAGCAGCCCGTAGTCGAGAAGCTCGCGGTGTTTCACCTCCTTGACTCGGAAAGCATGTAGAGCCGTTAGTCCTGCGCCTATTCACTCTCCAGTCGATGGCAATCTCATCGGATTTACCATACATGCCATCATGCATCATGTTATAAAGAAGATGCTACTGCACATCTTTCCTTTGATGTCTCTTACGAAAGCTAAGGGATAAATTTAACAAATTGGACAAACCTGAGGTAGAGTCACCTAAACAGACCATGCTGACACATAGGCGTAATGAACCAGCCTCTCTATCCCCTCAGCTCACTGTCGAAGTGTCTGTAGGCGCTTGAACTCTCGTTCTCTCGTAGCTCTGGCTAGGAGATCTCTTTATAAACGTGTTCTATGTGTTGGTCACC